GTGCTGTGAATTGTGAACAGAAGCAAGGTATTAAATTTTGAAAGTATATTTTGCTTCCAGGGCAGTTAATGAAAATCTAACTTGCTTTTTAAATAACTAAGGGAAAATGATAGGTTGCTATGAGAGACAAATTTACTTTTTCTAAATCATAACACTACTTTATTTTACAGACAATAAGTGCTGTTATATTATGAGCTTTACTAAGTTTTCAGGCTGGAAATATGGAACTGGTTTTGCTTTCAACATGCATATTTTTAGTTTGGGTTCCCTGAGCTGAAAAGGGACTTCACAAATGAAAAGTCTTGTCCCCAACCTTTAACTATTCAGGTAGCTCTGTGAAGAATCAACAAATGTGATTTACGCATCCTTCACTGTGACCCTTGGGTTCAGGAATGTATCTCAATATCTTATGCATGTAGGAGAGCCTTCGTTGTCACCAGGTGCCATCTACTACCAACTGAGACAGTAGGGTTTCTGAGACTTCTGCACAGGGTTAGCACTGGAGTATGGGAGATTGTGCCCTTCTGCACCAGTAGCTTGGAGGCCAGGCAGGATATCCCAAGGACATCTGAAGTGTCACTGGAGGCCTATATTTAAGCTACTGAATCCCACCCCAGCAGTTATTGGAAAACACTTCTATCTCCTCTGGCTTCTGTGGTGCCAGTTCTTTATCTGACCTACACAAGTAAAATGGGGACCCATTCTGTTTCTCTCCATATATGGCAGAGGATTTTCTGGACAGTTAAAGCATTTCTTAAGGTGTTCCAGGGCCCTTGTTGCATCCTTGGGTGTGTGATGTCGTATTGTTAGCTAGTTCCCTTAAATTATGTTTAACTCGAGACAGATTAAGGTAAAAATGCCAGCAGTCATTCATAACACTTAAAATCACAGAATCACATAATGGTTGAGGTTGGAAGGGACCTCTGGAGGTCATCTGGTCCAACCCCTCTGCTCAAGCAGGTCCACCTAGAGCTGGTTGCCCAGGACCATGTCCAGATGGCTTTTGAATATCTCTGAGGAGGGAGACTCCACAACATGCCTGGACAACCCCTTCCAGTGCTCGGTCACCCTCACAGTGAAAAAGTGTTTCCGGATTCTCAGACAGAACCTCCTGTGTTTCAGCTTGGAGACTTGCTGGTCATCTGTCTGCTGGTGGGAGGTGGTAAGTGATTGTCTTTGCATCACTTGGGGTTTTTTTCCCCTCTTTCCTTCACCTATTAAACTGTCTTTATCTTGACCCATGAGTTTTCTTGCTTTTGCTTGTCCCTTTGGGGCAGGGCAGGGGCGAGTGAGCGAGCGACTGTGTGGGTGCTTAGCTGCTGCCCAGGGTCAACCCACAACAGTCACTTAACTTGTTTAGAACAAGTCCAATCAACAGCCCATAGACTGAATTCACCTTGTGAAAGAAACACTTTCACCCAGTCTGCAATTTTTCTCTATGGGATGAGAAAAGATGGTTGAACAGAAAATCTTGTCTGAATGGCCAGATACTCTTTTTGCTACCTTACAGTGGAGAGACCCAAACTGTTGTCATGGAGAAGATAGGAGAGCAGCAGTAGCTGTTCCTATGGGTGGGAGCCAGGAGACAGGTCTCCTGCAACCTTCACACTTCATTGGAAGCAGTGGCAGCAGCCCAGCTCTGTAGATCAGGAAGCAGCAGTCTTCCCAGCTCAACCACTGCTACTATCCATCTTTCTGAAGTAAGCAAGGAGGCCGAGTTTAGCACCTCCAGACAGCCAGCATAGATGTATGATAGTCTAAAACCCAGCTTCTGGAGCTGCTGAAGGTAGAGGCAGTGAACTCTACATGGTCATGCCTGGGTATTTACAGCATTTAGGATCCTGTTCTCTCTTATGCAAATCATTTGAACGTTCATGCAATGACCCCCTACTTTTGTAGTACTGCCTCAAAGCATTACTCTCCTTCTCTGCTGCTAGAGAACAAAACTGAAAGGAACTACTCTTGTAGCAATGCACAGCAATGCAGCTGGAAGAGAAACAACTTGTTTCTGTTATTACTTACCTATCAAGATATCCTTTAACTACTCTAAAAAGTTTCTCGAACCCATATGCAGCTTTCCAAATGTTGAAATAGTAGTATCAACATTTGCAGAGGAAAAAATGAGCTCCTAAAGAGCTTGCAGACTTCTGAGATGTGAGTGGCCCTTAATGACTTCAAGTTACAGTGATACCAGGCACTCTGGCAAGGCTCAACACAGACTGCATTATCTTAAACCACAGTGATTTTCAGTCCTGTCCCTTCTCTTTCTTTCTAATAGTGCATGGCTGTTCTAATGCTATGATGCAAATGCATTTTAAAATCTATTCTTCATTTTGACAATTTTAATGTTTTTTCCCCATACAATAACAATATAACCCATTGTTACAAATATTTTTGTCTGTTAAGCACGTAAGAAGTTGCAATTGTATGAATTCTTTGCAGGAAGAGAAACCCAACTTGAGGATGAAGGGTTTCTTTGTTTCTCCTTTTGAAACAAGACAAACTTGAGAGAGGTCAAGTGAATCTTGTCTATAAGTATAAAGGGTGCTGTTGTATGGAAATCCAAAGGGAAGGAGAAGAACAAACACAAATCTTAGAATTTTTCAAACACTCAAACCCAGATGGGAACAGTCATTTATGTGCACATCCTAAGGCTTAGGCAGAATAAAAATATGAGTTAACTTACTTGATTTCAGGAGTAACAATTTCCACTGCTAGACTGTCTGAAGGTTCATGGCTTCCCAGGGGCATCAGTGCTGTGTCAGGAAAAGAAAGAGATATAAAGTTTACCAGGAAGAACAGTAACTTTCTTTTAAAAGACCAGGAATAAACTTTGTTCTACAAGTTGATAGATTTAGAGGAATGCTCTTGAGTAATTGGGAAATAATACAAATGTCAGGCCTCTAGCAAGAAGGAAAGACAAGCACAACACACTTCGGAGAACAATCACTGTTCCTATTTTCACCCATTCTGGAGAAATGATTTTATGGTGGATGGTTTACTGATTGGTTTATATAAGAATTAAAAACCTGTGTAACGTAACACATGGAAATAAATTGCCGCATGTGAACAATCATGTAAGCATCAGGAAATTGTTACATAATATTCTTTGGAGATGAGAGAGATGTTGAGCATGACTATTCAGAAATCAAATTCCTGGGGTAGGGAGAAACATTTTCTAAAACCGCCATATTTGGGAAGAAACTAAACATGAAAGATTTCAGTCAAACTGAAAGTTTCATGAGTTCATATGCATTTGAAAAAAAAGTAATACCAAAAGTGGTTTTTGAGTTTAGCTGAATTTTAGGTTTATTATCTGCTAATTAAAGACATATCCAGTATTCTCCGGAAGACCTCTGTGCACTTTAGAAAAGATATATTTAATCTCCTTTTTTGTCTCTTACCTGTAGTGGTGAGTTGACCCTCCTGTGCTTGTACACATCGGAGCTCTTCAATAGTTTCTTTTAAGGAATCTCTTTCTGCTCTTAATCTCTGAATAATAGGAACAACAATAATATTAGTCTTGGCACTACAAATCCATCCTTAACACTAAGTGAAGTGCCACAAGGCATAGCATCAACACTTAAAAAAGAATTTATATGCAACTCAAGAGATGATTTTCATGTCAAGGCATATCAACTTATTCCAGAATAGAATAAAAATCAACTACTTCCTGGAAACAGCAATTCTTTAAAAAGGTTTGCTGCTGCATGTTATACTTGTTGGGCTAAAGATATCAGAATACAAGCTTACAAAATCACAGAATAACAGAATCACAGAATGGTTAAGGTTGGAAGGGACCTCTGGAGGTCATCTGGTCCAATGCCCCTGATCAAGCAGGGCCACTTAGAGCCAGTTACCCAGGACCATGTCCGGATGGCTTTTGAACATCTCCAAGTATGGAGATTACACCACCTCTCTGGGCAACCTGTTCCAGTGCTCAGTCACCCTCACAGTAAAAAAGTGTTTCCTGATGTTCAGATGGAACCTCCTTTGTTTCAGTTTGTGCCCATTGCCTCTTGTCCTGTCACTGGGCACCAATGAAAAGAGCCTGGCTCCACCTTGTTTTCACCCTCCCTTCAGGTATTTATATACATTGATGAGACCGATCCCCCCCGAGCCTTCTCTGCTCTAGGCTAAACAGTCCCAGCTCTCTCAGCCTTTCCTCATAGGAGAGATGCTCCAGTCCCTTAATCATCTTTGTGGCCCTTCGTTGGACTCTCTCCAGTATGTCCATGTCTCTCTTGTACTGAGGAGCCCAGAACTGGACACAGGACTCCAGGCGTGGCCTCACCAGTGCTGAATAAAGAGGAAAGATCACCTCCCTCGACCTGCTGGCAACACTCCTCCTAATGCAGCCCAGGATACCATTTACCCTTTTTGCTGCTGCCAGGTGCCCACCAAGCCACTCTATGACTCCTCTCCTCAGCAAGAAAGGGGGGGGAAAATAAGATTAAGAACTCATGGGTTGAGATAAAGGCAGTTTAATAAGAAAAGCAAAGGCTGTGCACAGAAGCAAAGGAAACAAACAAACAAACAAAAATTATTCTCCTCTTCCCATCAGCAGGCAATGTCCAGCCACTTCCTGAGAAGTAGGACCTCTGTATGCATAGTGGATGCTTCAGAAGACAAACGCCTTAAATAACGAATGCCCCCTCCTCCTCCTCCTTTCCCGTAGCTTTTATTGCTGAACATGGCGTCATATGGTATGGAATATAGCTTAACACACTGATGGTTTAGTTGTTGCTAAGTAGTGCTTACACTAGTCAAGGACTTTTCAGCTTCCCATGCTCTGCCAGGTGCACAAGAAGCTGGGAGGGGGCACAGCCAGGACAGCTGACCCAGACTGGCCAAAGGGCTTTTCCATACCATATGATGTCATGCTCAGTATATAAACTGGGGCATGCCCACTATATTCAGGTTGAACCAACAGTTAAACCAGAATTAACCAGACAACAGAATTAATTGAGTAACAATTAATCAGACAATTAATCAACCTACCTACAAGGCCCCATCCCACCATGTCTCCATGATCCCAACAGGATTGTAGCCATGCAACTACACACAGTTCTCTGACTCCTCATGTTTATTCCCCATGCTGCATGCGTTAGTGTACAGGCACTTCAGAGAGGCATCCAGGCATGTTGACATCCTAGAAAGTGTTTGAGGGATTTCTCCATAATGGGGCCTTTTAGGTACTTCCTTGCTTACATACAAGTGCTGGAGGTGACCCCGCTTAAGCCCCATTTTGTTGATTTTGTGTTCCGTTCCTGTCACAAATCAAGCTATTAATGATGCAAACTTCACGTACCAGATAGCAAACAGCATCCATTGGGACCACTCACCTGTTTTCCTTTTCCCCTCACACATAGTTGGTTCCAAGGGAAAAGCAAGTGAGCTAAAATACCATAGGCTACTTTTCCTTTACCAAGGAAAGCAAGATTCAGTAGACAAGAGGAGGGAAATGTAAGGTAGCTGGGGGATATACAGAGTCAACACAACAGATGAACTACAGTAACTTGACACTGTCGCTTTTCCAACAGTGGGAGGTTAGACAGCAGTTCCACTTCCTCCTCCTGATGTGTGTCACTGGCTTTGCCATCATCTGAGCATTTCAGACATGGAAGGAAACTAGTTGTTTCAGGCTCAGTCCAAAGACCATCCTCGAGTGTAGATACGTTGACTCTTTTGTAGTGTCAGGCCCATATGCTCCCATTTGCCAGTAAGGCAAAGGAAAAGAAGCTACAGGTAGCACCAGGTTAGTAGCCCAAAAGGATCCCAAGACTCCAACATAAGAGAAGAGGGTGACAATTTATGTAAAAATCAAAGCAGTAGTCTGCTCTAGAACTAGGATGCATCCCATGTCGCTAAGAGTTCTAGGACAGCCCTTAGCTCTGTGTAGGTACAGAGTTGTGTTGGCTGATAGCTGCTCACACCAGACACAAGTCAACCCAAATGGATTCAGGACTTGTGATCCCTTTGGCAAACAGCACTTTGGTGAGGTGCATCAGGGGCTTCTGTTGTCTGATTAATCGTTAATCAATTAATTCTGTTGTCTGGTTAATTCTGGTTTAACTGTTGGTTCAACCTGAATATAGTGGGCATGCTGATTGATTGTATGAACAGCCATTTCACAAAACCCTTAGATTCTAAAGCTTGGATTGGTTTTACCATTGCAGTAAAAAGAGACACTCAGCAGGGAACACTGCAGAGTTTGATACTGGCAGCCAGAAAATACCTTGAAGTTGATTATTGGAAAGCAAGTATATTTTAAACCTGAAAGATCACAAGAGAAACAGGCAGCTGAGAACTTGAAATGTCAGGTAGTAGAAAGAGAACAGTAACAGATATAGAAAAGAAGTACTTTGAGGAACAAAAAAAGCACTAGGGCTGCAATCAGTGGTAGAAGTGCTAGTGGCAGATACTGAAGAAAAAGTTAACTCGTCAAATTGCATGGGTATCTATCAGCCAACACAACATATATAGAAAATTCCAAGATAGATTTTTATTAAAGATAGCAATCACATACTATCATACTCTGACAGAACAGACACAAGGACAAAAATGAGTTCAACAGCTAACTCTAATTGACAAGATATCACAACGTAACTTGTTATCTGTGATGGGCAATTTTAGTCATAGAAGCATAGAATGGTTTGGGTTGGAAGGGACCTTTAAAGATCATCCAGTCCAACCCCCCTGCCATGGGCAGGGACATCTACAACTAGATCAGGCCTCTCAAAGCCCCCTCCATCCTGACCTTGAACACTTCCAGGGATGGGGCATCCAAAACTTGTCTGGGCAACCTGTTACAAGGTCTCACCACCCTCATAGTAAAAAAAATTTCTTCCTTATATCCGTTCTAAAGCTATCCTCTTTCAGTTTAAAACCCTTGCCCCTTGCCCTGTCACTACAGGTCTTGGTAAAAAGTCTCTCTCCGTCTTTCTTATAAGCCCCCTTTAAGTACTGAAAGGCCGCAATAAGGTCTCCCTGGAGCCTTCTCTTCTCCAGGCTGAACAACGCCAGCTCTTTCAGCCTTTCTTCATAGGAGAGGTGTTCCAGCCCTCTGATCATTTTTGTGGCCCTCCTCTGGACCCACTATAACAGGTCCATGTCTTTCCCGTACTGAGGACCTCAGAGCTGGACGCAGTACTCCAGGTGGGGTCTCATGAGAGCAGAGTAGAGGGGCAGAATGACCTCCCTCGCCCTGCTGGCCGCGCTTCTTTTGATGCAGCCCAGGATACGATTGGCTTTCTGGGCTGCAAGAGCACAATGCCGGCTCATGTCCAATTTTTCATCCACCAGTATATCCCCAAGTCTTTTCCGCAGGGCTGCTCTCAATCCCTACATCCCCTAGTCTGTATGGATACCGGGGATTGCCCCGACCCATGTGCAGGACCTTGCATTTGGCCTTGTTGAACCTCATGAGGTTCACACAGGCCCACCTCTCCAGACCGTCAAGGTCCCTCTGGACGGCATCCCTTCCCTCTAGTGAATCAACTGCACCACTCAGCTTGGTGTCACCTGCAAACCTTCTGAGGGTGCACTCAATCCCAGTATATCTATGTCATTGATGCCACATTAAGATGTGACAATCAAGAAATAGAAAGAATAATGGGATTGAGAAAGAATAATAGGTTAAGAATCACTAACCAAAACACTGAGAGACTACTTTAGCTATGATATAGTTTTTACAGACACCTATTCACTCAAAAGAATGCATTAAAAACAAGCAACCCCAAAACAACACTTCTTGCCAGGTGGCAAAACAGAAAACCGTATCTGCAATGACTTGAAATGCAGGTCCTTCATACAAGATGAAAGGGTTTCCACCAAGCAACAGGTAAGCCAAAAATACAAACTTCCCCTGAAATCTGGGATGGGGGTGGGGGGGAGAGGAGAAAACACAGCCTGGTAAAAAACAGGAAAGAAAAGCAAAGCAAGAAATGAACAAGATTACTGTGAGCTATTCCAATTTGAGAGTGAGGAGCAGAAGAAAGTAATGACAAGGACAGGCATCCATAGTATTTAGTAAATTTGGCAATGTACAGAAATCTAAGACCTATGAGCAGAATATAACAGAATTTTCAGCTCAAGTGCTACCCAAGTGCAAGACCTGGAAATTTATTAAAGATTAGACAGGATATCTTCAGGAAAGTGTCTACAAAGATTCTGCTTGAAGGAAAGACAGACTTATGCTTCAAATAAGCCTGAGCAATTGCTAACTGAAAGTGTTGGCCATGTTTCATGTGGTACTTTAAAGCGCCAATATACAAACTCCAAAAATATCCACAAACAGAAACCAGCTGGCAAAGAAACTAGAGTATGCCAGAGATGCATGGAGGATTATTCTTGGCAAGAGAAGGCAAGAGGAATCAACCCCAGTCTGTTGGTGGCTTAGAGAGGAAGATAATAAACTGGTATCTATACCGCATATCCATGATGACACCAGAAACTAAATCAGTGATCACAAGAGAAAGGGGAAAGCACAATAGAGGACACATCCTTCTACAAGATTCCTAAACCTCTTGCTACAGAGGCCTTAATTTCACAAAGAGAAACACGCAGATGCTACCTCAAGGAACATTACTTTGGAAAAAAAAACAACTTCTGAGTTTAGTTCTAGGGAGATACCGCAAAAAACCTACTTTAAATAGTTTTTCAGAATACATTACAATTATCTTTGGCATTTATTATCCTTTTCATGGTGAATGGTCAAGAAACAACTGCAGACACTATATGTGAGGGCTTTTCCTCTTGAAAATCTGTTGTATATATTTTAATACAGTCACTTTATCCCATGCAATATAATCATTAAGTTTAAAAATGTATTTGCACACAAACATTAGAAAATTTTAAGTGGAAAATAAAAGTCATGAATTCAAAAAGCTCAACGTAAAAGCTTTTTTTGATAACCATAGCTCTATGTAATAAAGGAAAAATGATTGCTTTCACTACTACTAGAAAAATGATATAATGAAACTTACATCTTTTTCTTTTTGGAGGCTGTCTACTTTTTCTTTCAACTGTTTGCATTCATAATCTAGTTTATCAGCTTTCTTGGATTCTTCAGATAATCTGTTTTGTAATTCCACTGCCTGTGAGAGCAAGAAGCAGTAATTTGTCTGCAATTATTAACATTAAAAGAAAACATATGAAAGAAAGCAGTTAATGACTGTGCACCATGAGGCAAATAAGTGAAATATTTACCTACAGGAAAGTCTAAAATTCTTTTTCATCAATTGTTATGTTTCAGTATAACCAAAAGAATTCAAATACTAGGCATTAGCACAAATAAAAGAAAAAACAAAAAGATGTAAAGTATCTTTAAAAATTTACATACAAGTGAGATTTACAGGAAAAACTGTATAATCCTATGAACCAAAGAGCTCAGGAATAGTAGAATAAACCTCCTACTTTCAGAGAAGCCAAGGAAAAGAAAAAACTCTCAAGAAACCTTTTGTCATCTCTTTTTCTACAAACCTCACTCAGAAGTCAGGCACCGGTTCATGCAGTTAGGTGAATTTTCTTGTGCTTAGACATTTGTTATTGTTTATTAATACACAAACATGAAAATTCAGCTGCAGGCTCATTATCAGTTTTCTTTATTTCAAGGGGCAATATGTTCCTAACAAAATCTCGTAGATATTTTTCAAGCTGTAAATTAGCAAAGAGCTTTTAAAACTAAAAAAGGAGAAGTATAAAAGCTTAGCAGAAAAGATCAGTGAGCACAGGACAACTCAGCAAAGTTCTCAGCCTTTACTAGTGTAGACTCAATCCCAGAATGTTAATAACATAACACAGAGTATGAAAGCAGTAAACAGAGTAAAGACTGACTGGCAAACACATAAGCTGAATGAAGGCTCAGCTGAAGATATATAATTAATTCTTATAGCAGGACACAGAGTTAGGACTCCTGGAAACTAATTTGTGACATTTCACATTTATACTTTCTTCATTCATGTTTTGGTCTCAAAGGTGTATTCAAGAGGAGCCTGACTTTATAGACAATGAAGGCAAACAGACTGTGTGTTTGTTCTGAGACAGTGTGGTTAAAGTGAAAGAAACTCCGGTCTGCCAGATTAGAGACCTGAGCTTTATTCCAGTCTCAGCCAGCAGTAAAGTTCCGTACAACACATCAGCTCCTCAGTTGTAAAATCTCATCCATAAAACATTGGGAATGAGGGAGAAGAGATATTCTTTGCAGATGCACAGCTTAGACATAAAGAACAGTTTCCCCTTTAAAAATCTGCATCATTATTGAAATAAGCATGATCAGATGCAAACATCAGGGATAACACAACTGTAATGGGTGCTCTGTTATTTGGAGGAATTATTCCTTTTATGAGCAAATGAGATATTAATGGCA